AGTCAATAGAGCATACCTTGGTATAATAGCTTCAAAATGTAGCAACACAAATTTTGTACAAAATTAATATCTAAACAATAATTTTTAAGTGTAATATGAAATCACTGAAGATAAGTATGCGTATAATACATGTTTTATGATATCCAATTTCGTAGGTTTACAATTCCATTACTATATTGAACAAGACTAACAATAGATAAGATTGACACTTTTGAGTTATGCATAAAAGTAACCTGTAGAGACGTAGTTGACATTAAACAAAAGAGAGGCCTTTTTTGTGGTCACAGCATGTGGTAAAACAATGATCCTCAAAAGCGACAGAGAGAAAGAGAGTGGGAGGTGAGATTGGCTGAAACTAAAACCTCTATTGAGAATAAGTGACAACTAGGTCAAAAAATGTAATAGCAATCCACATTAACATGAAATTTCGGTGAAAATAACATAACTGAAAAATAATTTGGCAGAAATGATGACTCTGCGTAAATCACGAGTGACAATCATATTACTGGTGACAAAACTAATAATAATTTGAGAAATGAATTTTCATTTGACGTGGTAGTTTGAAGCATAAGATGAATGTAAGAACTTTTTATTAGTAATCAATATAATAGGTTTTTAGCATTGATGTTTGGTAAATAACCAAAGTATTCGGATGATGAGAATGAATTGTAAACATAAGAGAGAGAGAGAGGAGGAGGAGGAGGAGTAGGAAAGATAGAGATCAGCCATTTTGTTTACTTGTGTTACTTAAAGAGTTGAGGGATACTGATAAATACTAAATACACACGTTCTAACTGATATTAAAAAAGAGAGATTTATTCGTGCTAAAGTCTAGTAGAAGTCATAAATCAACGAAAAAGTTCCAAAATCTGAAAATTGTTGATACAATGAGATGTTCATCGATTGGCATTATTGAATTGTTCCTTCATTACAAAGTTGTTTGATTTTGAAAATGGTTCTATATATTATTAAATGTGAAGGTATTTCATTTTGAGCAGATTTCAGTCTGAAACCAAAGTGAAAATCAACATTACTTTCTAATTCAGACTCACAAACTGGGCAATACAATGTTGTATTCACGATTTGTATATTTGTATTCAAGTCAATTATTTTTACAACGAAAAATGTGTTTATCCGATGTGGTCAAGAAATATTCTCCAATCTAGTAATTGAATAGTATATATGTTTCTTAGTAAGCCCGGTTATAAAAGTATCTAGCACAACCTTAGCATAAACAATGGAAAAACTTCGATAGATTTAATAATGATAATGTCACTTTAATAAATATCATAAATCATTTGTCCGCTCATTTTTTTTCAAATTGTTTACGGATCGATAATAAGTAGGCAATTATTCCAAAGTCTTAAATGATCCAGTTACTTGATATGATTTAAGCGAACAATATTCAATTACACTTTCAAAATCCAGAAATACAATTGCAATAATAAGCATTTAACCTTAAATACTGTACATACTAATCGAGATTTATATAAACTGAAAAATTGATAGTTATGCTAGTATGAAATTAAAATGTTTCATCCATTCACTATTTACTACATTGTTTAATGGAGATTCTGTACAAGTCATAAGTAATTTAATCCAAAAGAAGTAATAATGGTTTACTTCCGATTCAAAATCCCTAGAATTGTAACAATAAGAGATAGAATCTAATGCTTTCAAGTTTTGTGATGATTATACTACTTTTAAGTCCTTAAATTGGAATTCAGTAGTTCATAATCTGTTTGACTAACAATTATGATGTTCATTTGTTGTTATCATCAAGTTATTGTCGCGCGCTGAGTTGGTTGATGTCACATACTATGTAATTAGGATTTTAAGGAAATTCATATCAAGGGTGGTCATATTATGATATATACTTTCTGTTGGTTTTCATGCTGTTCGTAACACAAGAAAACTCTATTTCACTTTGTTATTACATGTTCATCCAGTTGACGCTGAATATTAATTCTTAGATAATGAAAAAAAATGTACGGAATCTGAAGTGTGATTGGCTCTTTGTAGTATTCTTTTCTTTCATTACTAAATTGTGACCATGTGTTTTTGATAGGTCCTGATAAACATAATGAGTGGTAACGTTGGGATTCTTTTATGGACCAATACTAAACGTATAATTGTCAAATAACTAAACCATTCATATTCATGTTCCTCTTATTATAAGCTTTATTTTGACCTATGAACTATTAGTATAGGTTTTACCATTCTTGAATTATGCCCTGTATATTAGTCACTACCTCCAACATTCACAGCCACATTTTGTACAAATGTTGTTTTCTATTTTATGCTACGTTGTGGTCTGTTTGATTGGTATATAAACTCAGCATGTTTGGAATGTAATGATTCATATTGCAGAGGCTGAGATTGGCGTTCTGGACTTAACTGGCTGGGCTAGGCGGAAAGCAGGATCAATCAGGACTCTAGGCTGCTCGCACGTGTTTACGCGACCTTGGTCCGGTCGACAATTCACTGCTCTCTCATTGGCGGTCACAAGTTATAACAGTTATATAATGCGATAATATATATTTGATTCCAGAAATTTAAGATGATCTCAAACAATAATGTTTTTAAAGATACAGGATGTTTCTGAACATTTAAAAAATATTCTTAACTGAGTGTTAGAACAGATTATTGAATTTATCTGCTAATCAACCTATGTTATAATTCATTGCTATAGACGGTTTATACCATCTAATAGATGATTCACTTGACTTTTTCACAATAATCGATAAAGCTCTCCCACTAATAACATGTTACTAATCATTTATTGTGACTATGAGAGTTAAACTGAGCTTTTATGCTCAAGTTTAGGGAATAATTCTCATCTTTATAGACTATAAAGTGATAAATGTAACAAAGACTTTGTTAAGAAAATAAATAATAATTTGCCAAGGATTCATGATTGCATCAAACAACTGTTCATCAATGTTGATACGATTTTTTAAAAGTAGAAATGCAATCAGCGTATTCAAGAACTGCATTCATTATGGTTAAAAGTGTTGATTCACAAAAATTATGAAGAATTATATTAGAAGGGGTTTTGTAGCTATTATACTCATTTTAATGGCTGAAATCATGAGTAAATTAAAGCTAGACCACCATGAAAAACCTGGATTTTTTAAAATACAGAAGACGTTTTTTCGCTAAACGGCAGGTTCATTCCGATTGAAAGTTATAGGAAAGGGTTAGAGGACCTTCAAACTTTCCAGCTTTAGTTAAACCCACTGGACATTTATCTTGGAAGTCAACTGTCTTAGATTAACAAAGATCTAAAAGCCTTAGCAACTACATTTACTTTTATAAGCGAATTTAGATGATCGCTAGCAGTGGAATCTTCATCAGCTTGGTATGCTTGAATCTCAGAGTTTGTGTTCACACCGGAACCCAGACTCGGTGACGTTCGCTTCAAACTCCATCACGTTATCGACTTAGCTTATTAGTTCAGATAGCCACCAGATATCAATGGACGGAGTTAATCAATTACGGAATTTTGTCAAAAATTATGGTTAAATAGAAACATGTTAATATAGTATCATTTAATTCATATATTTGGACAATAAACCAACTTCAATGAATATATGTTTTATTCATAGTGCACAATTTGTGGACTCATAGGAGCTAAAAAGAATTTTAGTCAATAATACTTTTTAAACAGAAAATGAATTACTGATAGAATGTGAACAAAATCATCCTATTGTTTTGTTAAATCTGTTTGCAAATCGAATTCCCATAAGCTCACTTAGAGAAACAGAAAAGAACACAATCTCTGGTAAACATATGTCGTAAGGAAAAAAGGGAATACAGTTCGAAATTGAAGTGTGATCAGTAGCGGTCAGATGACACTGACAAAGGAAGCTGCAAGAAAAAAAAGCAATTTGCAACGGATTTCGATGACGAATAAAAAATGGTACCGCCGAAAAAGTTTTCGAGTTTGTTAGTGTGAAACAAACAAAATAAAAGAATACTGATCAAGTTGATTTGCTTTTGAAATTAAAATGTAAACATCTAAAATAGGTATTAGGATTCGAAGGCATAAAATTATCTTATATGTTTTAGAATAGAAGTAGTCAAACTTGACAAATTGATTAGTAAGAACAGAAAAGCAAAAAAAAGTTCGTCCAGTGATCAATAGTTTATTTGAATTTTTTTTTTGTAAAAAAAAGGAATCCAGAGCACACACACCTTTAGAGAAGATTAATGTATTTTCAAAATCAAAAAGATGTCTATACAACCGCTGCATAACGAAAGAAAGCACATTCGCCGCACAAACAAAGAAGTAAACATTTAGAAATCTGTATATACGAATAAGTAATAAGGTTTAATGAAAATATTCTGGTCCACAAGAGAAAGTGAACTGAAAAAAAGGTTAAATCAATGTTTTAATTCTGAGAAATACTCGAAATGTGCAGTAGTACTATGATAATGGTTATATTCTGTAAAATAATTTCTCATAGACACGATATGAAATGACTTCATTGTTCAACTAGGAAGCCATTTTCTCTGTTTCATGTTAATGTATAAATAGTCCAACATTTTGACTGAAAATAATTTCCTTTAGTGCACATTAAATATCTGTAAGGGGATATTGATATAAACTTCAAATCAATATTTGTCTTTAATAAAATGATCAAGTTAAAGAAAAAAAAAGAGAGAAGGACAATAAACAAACGGAATAATAAACAGTTAAAGAAACGAAAAAAAACACACAATGTGTATACCATTAGAAAAATCATTTGATAAATATTATCGTTTTTAAAAAGGAAGGACTAAAGAAAGATCAGAAGAATTAGGGAATAAATAAACAATACTGGAATTTCGCTTAAAGAGAGTTGTTCAGAAAGAAGAATGATAACTAAATAAAAGGAAAAACAAGATAAATTGAAATGTATCTTGTAACCAATTTTGTTTAGAAGACCTTCTATTACTTGATTCTTTTCTGGATCATTGAATGTTATATGTCAGATAATTATAATTAAATATTGTTATCACTGAAATATGGGTAAGCAAAAAAACAGACAAAGTACAATGCTGAGAGTTAAATAATTACATAACAAGAAAATAAATTATATTTTATATAGCGAACTAACCTTGGTTAGACAATTATTGAAAGCCAGAAGGCACTAGACAACTGTCCTAATCTCGTGAAGGAATCTTCAGCAATGTGATTCTGTGGTGCCGCCGAAGGTTAGACGAAAGATATTCAGTCAATGCAAGATATGAGAAAAAACAATCTCCACAAACCCCTTACGTCAAAAATAATATATTATCAGGGTGAGGATTTGTGAAGATTGTAGTATTTTTAACAGTTGAATTCACGAGTCAGTCCAAACTAGACCACCATTGAGAGCCTGGAAGCACTGGACGGTCGTTTCGTTCTTGGATGGTATCGTGAATCAGCACTATTGAAGAGTACCATAGTAGGACGAAACAAACTCTATTACTGATCCTGACTAGTGGTGTCGAAAGCTATGACAGGAATCATTAACTTTCAGGATATGAAACAAAACAATGTGAACTGATAGATTTACGTTTAGAATTCTCTTACTTGGTCACTAAGTACACTGTATTAGTAAACACTTTCGATATTTCCACATCAAATGGACGAATTCAAAAAGGATCATCGAAATTTAATTATATAAAGACTGTTAAGGAATTGGATATTGAATTCAACTTCTGAATTCTATCAGTGAGTGAATGTCATGGGAAAAAAGCGAGAAGCAAAAAAACATTATTTTTCAGAAGCCTTTACTGGTCGGTTACTAATGTCATAGTATGGTTGGAAGTGTGTAGCCAATAGGTTACAGCTTTTCAAAGAAAACGACTGACAAAAACATGGAATACTATGAAGCAAGCGTCCAGATACGAAGAAAAACCTTACCTTAGCTAATGCAGACTTTGGTGAACGAGATGGTGGTTTTATTCCACTAGGCAGAGGGATAGAAGTATTATTCATCGGTACAGGCATATGAGATTGTCCACTAACAAGGGGTGGCATTATAGACGGTGCAGGTATACCAGAATTGGCGATCGGTGAATTTCCTGATAAAGGTCGAAGCTTAGTTTGAACTTTACCATGAGATGAAGAAGGTGAAATTCCTAGAGGTCTAGGTAAACCACTAGGATGTTCTAAACTATCCTCTGTAATTAATTCTTGTCTTTTTATCAATTCGCAGGTTGGTTCAACGCTTGTAGGAATTTGTTTTTTGTTATGTGTCATATCATCATCATGTGTAGACATAACTGATGTGTCGGTGGCACTAGGATTGGTATGTCCGTTAGTAGTAATTCTAGACTTCATTTTATCTGGGGTAATAGATGGAGCTTTAATACCACTCGGTGGACGAATTCCAGTTACACTAACTGACGCGGAGCATACGACGGGTGGTGTACTCGGTGTATTGTTCTTCTACGAAAAAAAGGAATAATATGATTAACAAAGAAACATTGTATAAACTGCTATCTAATCTGCCGCCAAAAATTATGTAATCGTTTTTCACAAATGTACACGTACAGTTGTAACAAGTTTTTACAAAGTTATAAACACACCAGAATTATATGGTTTGTTTTTATGGAGAGATTGAATCAACTTAATGTAAAATAAAGGGGAAATGTGTTTTTAACTGAAGCGATAGTTGAGATAAAGTCTCAAATTTTCATGCGAATTGCTGGGTACCAATCTTGTTGGTTTATAACTAAAACCAACTTTAATAAATAATAAATAAGTTTACAATAATGAAAGAGATTCATCATACCAGTGAAGAAATAAAGATGATTTAACAAAGAAAATTTTCTTTTCGATGATAATGTGTTAGTAAACCAGAAAGAATAAATCGCAAAATCGTTGAGAAAATATTTCAATTTGTTAAACTTTGTAATGTCACCTTCCACACAGTTTTTGATTATTGGATATTTGGAAAATAATAGATAAATAGAAATTTTGTGGAATACAGAGAACGTAGTAATCCAATGGTTTTAGTTTGAACTGTCTGTGTAAAAGCAGCATGTGAGATATTTCATTGTACTATGAATCGGTCAGACCACAATCTATGGACGAACTAATCGTATTTAAGCTAGCGAAACTTGGACTTTGTGCGAAACTCAGTCTCCATATGGTTAATTAATGTTTTAGCATTATAGATGTCAGTTCGCGATGAAAAACCTAACTCTAATTCATAAGAATAACTTATAATGCAAAGTCATATTCTTAATTGCTTACGTAAATTTATATTCCTATTTTGAACTTGATAAATGATTGAAGCTTCTCAAGGTCAATTAAGTATCGTCAAAAGGTCTTCCATAAATTCTAGTTTCGTTACCTATAGATTGCTGCACAGTTCACATGTGATACTTGATATTTTTAAATAATTTACATGTTGTAATCATTTTCTATTTTCAAGTAGATTACTGTATCTAATAAGTTACTGTAAACATGATTCCAAGGCTTGAAGTAAATAACATAATTGAACAAAAAAATTACAAGTCATTTTGATTTTTAATTCTAAATATCTCTTCGAAATCAATTCATCAGCTTAATTAACAAACTTCAGCCAAATACAAATGCAGGAATTGTGGTTATCCATATATTAACTACTATTTACAGCTTTTTTCCTATGTAATCATTGATTGATAACGAGAACTGACCAAACGATTATTGGCTTCAACGAGTTATCTCCTGAACTACTGAGTCCTGATATCCACTAGCTTGCGAGACGGGTGTGAAGTTTATTTCTAACGGTTTGTATTTTCCTCTTTATGACGTTAATGATCGTAATTGATCAAACTCTGTGAGGGAGGGAAATACATACTGCCATGTTGTTATCGATTTTTAAATGTCCTTATAAGTGAAGTTCAAACAGAATATCACGATATAATATATTTGACAGTTGAGCATTAATTGATTGAAACAGTTTATCGGCATGAAAAGTTAACTTACTTCGGGAGAATCTATTTTATTATGATTTTTTATACTTTCTGGAGTATGAAATGAATTGGACATTGTGTTATTATCATTATTATTATATGTTACATGGTTGGAACTGAAAGATTCATCGACTTTAATGGTAGTAGAAGTTACTTTTGTAGTGCTTATTTTGTTTAAATCTGATGTTTTTACAGTAAACGAAGGTGGTTTAATACGCGATTGGAATGAATCAGAAGTTAATATAGTTGAAGGTGAAGTAGTATGAGCAATCTTGGAAGAATCATCTTCCATTACATGTTTGAAACCGTTTAAAGTTGGCTTTATATCATTTGAAATATTATTATTCGTATCGGATTTAACTGTTGTATATGGTTGTGGAGCGTATAAACTTGTGGCGTGACTAACTGTAGACTTGACATTATGATCGTTATATGAATTGACATTTTGGAAATCTGGGATGTTATAATTATTATTATTGACATCGACTGATGAAGCAACATTGTTTTTAGCAGAAACCACACTGACAGAATGTGCTATAACAGGTTTTATAGATGATCCAGTGACACAACTAACATGCTCTGAAGTAGCCTGAGGATTCAAACTATAAATAAATAAGGGGAAAAATTGATCTTATAATCAATACACCTTTAGGTCACCATTAATATATAACTTGACATTGATTTCTCAAAATCAATATTAATAACAAATAAACCAATATGAACATCTCTCATAGTTCCTTTATACTTATTGCTTTTTTCAATAATCTTTAGTAATGAAAAAATTTCTGATATTATGACATAATGCATCTACATCAATATAGAACAGATAAATTGGTGGCTAGGAGCGGAAAGGCTATAATAAATATTAAAAAAAAACGAATAAACTAAAGTCTAACTATAACAAATTTAAGGAAAATATTCACATTTAGAGTGTCATCTTTTTTATTATTGATCGTGTGAAGCAAGTGCAAAAGATACAAGAAAGTATTATTATTACAGATATTCTCGACCGATTTGATTGATTGAATTTTGGTTATAATGCAGTGAACTTTCATGATTGAGGTTGTCAAAACTATCAAACAAATAGCATAAATTATATTGAAAAAAATTGTCTTGGTTACCAAACAAGACAATATTAAAAATATATAATTAAGTATCATTGTGCACCAACAAAATTAATCTAAACACACAGACATATATTAACTTTATTTAAGATGTGACTTAATAGTTCAGGCAGTCAACTTAAATTCATAAGGTAGCACGTTGAAACCATCCATTCTACGGTGACTATAGTTTATGAAACACGATAATAACAACAGATCTCATAAAAAAGCATAGATCAGAGACGAACACATAAATTTGCTTATTGTAAACACAAGTTGAATTATTTATAAAAACGTTTAGTAGGATTTACAGCAGCAAACAAATATCGCTTATAGGGGCGGTTATTTCACGCCTTGTTTAACTATTTGAATGGTTGTATCATAGGCGATTTAGTTAATTTAATTATGGATAACAATGTAAGTGACAAAATATCATGACCTAATTTGATGGATTAATCAATATTGATTAATTATTAGTTAGTATTATTCAGTAGAATAATTTTTGTTATCATCAATATTATTATTTATTACTAACTGAAGTGATTATACTAGAAATAATAGTGGTAACTAGGATATAATTGACTGGATTATACCTAGATAAATACTGAATACGAATAACGATCTATTTATGTTAAAAAGTATTGTGAGTACAAATGATTGTTTATTATTTCACACGAGAAAATTATCATCTCTTCAACTTGCAATGAATATACGAAAAGAACACAATAACAACACATTATTATAAGAAAACATGAGCGTATTCAAGTAGTAGAGTATTTGTTTCTTGTTTTTTAAAAAAGAAAACAATTGAACTTGGTGTGTACGCGGCAACATCATCTATTCAGTGACAAACTTACTTATACACATTGACCTAAACAAAGAGTTAGTTTGTTTCTCATATTATTTTAAATGAGGTCTCGTTTTATGAAGAAAAACAGTACATTTGAAGTTTATCAATATAATGGATTTAGATGAAACGAGTTCAGTGTGTTCTATGCTAAGCGAAATCGACTAACAAAATTAGCGGTGTGACTGTAGTCTACTGTGATAATTTGTTCACGGAATCACTTTAGGGATAAATTGACCCTTCTCCAACCCAAACAAACAGGCATAATCATCATTAGCTACTTGAGTGGAGAATTCAAGCTTCTCTTCGTGAACAACGTAGTGTATATAAGAGTTGAGTATATGTGAAAATGCAAGTGAATTATTTACTAAGTGTATAATTATGTATTCAGTTTTAAGCCACTATAAATTCTAGTAATATTATTCAAAGTAGATGAAGGAGTTCGAACCTATAACCTCTTAGTCGAAAAATGAGTGCTTTAATTAATTAGTTCACTATTCTATGTAGTAAAACGAGGGGACAAAGTAATATTGATAAAAAATAATAGTATATTTACAACATTAAATACTGAAAGGAGGAGAATATCATGAAATATTGCTTGTTATTATTCATCTTAACTACACCGATCCAAATGTAATACGAAAATTGGGATTTACGTAGAAAAAATATGTGTCTACACAGTAACATCACATATAATTGAATGAATCATTCAACCGTTATAAAATTGTTTTTTCTAATTGTGTTCTATTTGTGTGTGTGTTTTACAAAGAGATAACAAGATTAATTTGAAGTGCATTTTGGCTTGTACATTTTTCTTTACCACACATTCATGATTATTTGAATTGACATACAATAAAAATAAATGTATGGATTGTACCATTTCAACTTATTGATGATATTAGATATTTCCGAAAAAAAAACGAAACAAGTGTACATTAAAACGATACTACAAGTAGTTAACAGTAGAACAGATATGAATTATAAGACCACTGACAGAAAATACATCTCTGGAAGGAATTAATTTAAACGGAATTCAAATAAACGAGCTGGTGTCCTAAAGATGAAAAAACTCATTGGTCAAAGAAAATTCCTTGTAATCATTAAATAATGATTTCAATTATATCATAGAAACCACTGCTTATAAGCGAACAAATTCCGCTGAATTAGAGCTTCATGTCTTACAGATATATATACGACCAAACTTTTAAAAGACTGCCGTTACTATATAAACTTTTCGACGAAAGATGCTTGTGGGTGTAAGAGAAAGTTTGAAGGAAGTTCAGGGTAGACAAATCAAGACTTAGCACCAGTCCACGAAGTCATCGACTGTTTGATTGGTGTTGGGTGACATGACTGATAATCCCAGTTTTAAAATTAATTTATACTCTTTTGTTTAGCGGATTCATTTTTTCTCGAATCATATTGTTTATACCTAATTTTTTATACTACCACTAATGTTGTTACTAATTCACTATTCCAACATTTGTCTTGATAATTTCATCTCAATGTAGTGATGATCGTGCGATAACTCGGGCCGATAGATATGTATAAGTGGCAGGTTTTATGGTGTTCATGAATTACTGACTTCTGACAAATAGAAATGAACAGAAATGACAAAAAATTTAAATAGATAAAATCAGTATTACTTTTCATCATCGGAAATCTTTTTTTCTACAACGATTGTATCCAATTTCGATTGTACAAAGTGTGTATTGGTAACATTAGAATTAATGGCTGATGGGATAAAATTCTTCTGTCCTGACACTTCAGTATGTACTGAAGATGATGAATGTGAAAATGTAGCAAGATTACCATTTGTTGGAATTGTCGATGAAAAGATACTTTCATTTGTATATTGCTTTGACAAATTATCTTCATTGATAGTTGTTGTTGCCCCTGATGTTGTTATCGTAGTATTTATCATGGGGCTAATGTTTAACGTTTCTTTATGAAATGTTGAATTTGATTTATTCATAGCAACAGATGATAAATTATTGAATGACGATAACTGAGGTGAAGATAATTCATTTGAAATGGATTTCATGGGTGCTGTCGTTGTCATCATTGAAGTATTAGCGATGGTGTACGAGAAATTGTTAACAGGTACAGAGGAAACAATCGTTGAAGATTTATTCATCAGTAATGAACTAAAGAAAATTAAAGATAAAATGTAGTAAGTTTTATTCAATCATTTGAAATTGTTGTGTAGAATTAAACTGAAAAGAAATTTTCGAAACACTACAATAATTTCTAGCGAAAAGGTGTAATTTTTAGGAGTTGAAAATATTAGACACTATATGATTCGAGTGGAATCGCGTAGTCTATTACAAACAGACAGTCACTTACTCACAGATGACAATTCAGTGGTTGTTATAGGATCCAGCGATTCTGCTAAAGAGCTAGAAGCTTAGAATTGAGCAGCGACCATAGGAAAACTGATGATATTTGGACGACACAAACAAAAAAGAACAGTAAAAATTAATATCAGAGAATAAGAAGAATCCAATTCTTTTATGCAGTGTTTGCATACTAAACTTATCATGTGAATAGATAAGAAAATGTGCACTGATCTGAAATAGAGGAAGCGAATTAAGTCCGGCCACTTTTGAATCCCAAAATATTCACTGGAATTCCGGAACATTTATATTATCCAAGATTTAGTTCTATGGGTCAGATAGATATGATCACTGATAGAACTGTGATATATTAAAACTTTGAGAAAAAATAACGCTACTCTGAAATACAATAATTTCAGTTTTAATATTGCAACAGATGCTGAAAATCGTGCACTATATATCAATTACATTGTATTGAATTAGACAATACCACAAAACAGTTTAAAAAACTCGTAACTTAGCAGATTAACTTAACGTTGGATATTATCTAGCAGTGAGATTCAGGATGTGTTCGGTCATATTTGATGCACAAGTTTTAGGATGTAACTGGGGATTTCAATGTTACTGTTCGTTTCGAAATCATAACAACAAAAATTGGAAAAAAACACAAACCTTTAAGATAAAATGATTGAAGTTCTTATTAAAAATCATTGGAATCAAATTCAAAACTCAAGTAAGATTTATGGTCTCTAGCTGCCAGGAGCATCAGGGAAAGTTTTATCTAATCAGTATTGAATAGGATCTTCGCGGAAGCATCTAGAAAACGAGGATTCATGTGCTACGGTTTTGATAAGATATTTACCTTCACTACTATAATATTTAGCATGGATCCAGAAATTTCCAAAAGCCCAAGGTCGTGTGTAACTCCATAAATATTCCTGTTTCTCTAAACCATGAAATAAAACTATTACTCATATTTCCCGCCTTTAATCTACTGTTCCAATTGACGTTTCAAAGTAGTTGGAGTTATCGGAACCGACTGGGAAGATAGTTTAGGAGTATAGGTAACAGTCGATATAAACTCGATATTCAAACAAACTTTAATATGTAACTACATTAAAGTTAATTTATAAGTTGATTAGTTGTTAAATGACCAGAATAATTTGACCGTCTACATTTCGAAGACAATTAATGTATCACAAATCTAATACAGTGTTAACTTGGATATATATTTATCACGTAGAGATAAATTTATCATGTTTCTTTAAATAAAACAGGTGAATCTATTCACAGTCAGTCACTGACTTAATGAACCAATGTAAATTTATTGAATTCATTAGTTATTTCTTTTTTAATAATAAATTATATACACATCTTAACATTGTAACAGAGGCAGTAATCTTATGCTTTTTAAAATGACAAAAATATCTCAAAATGTCATGACTATAATTTAGTCAATGATTCACGGCATCAAAATTTGGTCAACTCTTCACAACTGAACATATACAAAACTATTAAATAAAAAAAAATTTTGGTATAAACCAAGTTCACAAGTTTCAAAGCACACATAATGTGTATCAATGTTTGTAACAAGTGTGAATAATAGTCGTATTTAAAAAAAAACAAATCACTAAATGAAAAACTTGAATGGTTGCAAATTTATTCGCCGACACCAGTAGTTAGTTAATATACAAGAAAATTATTTTATCATTTAACAAATGCATGAAAAAACATGTTGGCAACGAGTTTAGTTAATTGGATATTTTTCAATGACTACTGATCGATTTCTGAAATAGTACTCTTTAGATGGTAGCTTACAAACTGAAAAAGTTTTATTTTTCTTAGACATTAGGAAGTAGTAAGCGAGTAAAGTGGTACAAATTGTGATCTTAATTTGGTAGAACTAATTATACTCAGCAATGTTTTATTAAATTATATAAAAAAGGACAAAGATGAAAGAAGTCATAATTTTAAAATATAAATATTATATGGAGAAATATTTTCATTTACTAATAAACCGATTCACTCTAAGTAGACTATCGAAAGTAATAATTTGATCAGTCTATTCATCACTCTAACAATCAAGTAGATAGTTATTCGATCTCTGATGAAACAAACAAACATTTGACCTATGATATCACTTATATTCACATTTGGTTATCTTATCTAATAGTTGATTTAGTGAAGCTGAGATTTAGTGATCCGGATACAAAAGAAGCAGTACATCATGAATTAGAATTCTATTGTATTGCCGGGTAAATAAGTATAGTATTTGATATTGAATAAAGTGAGTTTTACTTACATTCTGTCCTATCAATCTACGCTTAGCTACTGAGGAATAAACTAGTAATTTCAAAGTGAATGTAGTGATCTTGAGAATTTAAACAAAGAAAGCTTATAGCAACACAAATGACTTGGGAATCAAGGGTCAACGATTCTTGAGTACATAACACAGATTTCTTTCTTTCTTTTTTACGATAGAACATTTTGCACAGTAGACAAAAAGGACATTTTGCGTGACTTCATATAGAACTGGTTCAAAACGTGCAGGTTCATTTGCTTTTTATTTCTCGATCTTGAATTTCTTTCTATACATTGTCCCACTCTTTGTTCTTCGACCATATTCTTAATATTCAATCATTCTCATTAAAATTTCAACCAAATAAGTTTAATCTCATTCGCAATTCATTTTATATTCTTCATCTCGTCTTATTAATGTGTTACGATAACTTGCCTGTATTAACTTACATCTGTCTTAGACTCTACGTTGAAGACGACTAAATGAATACAGTAATTGTGTAATGTTTGTGTTGCTCATTCTCGTTTTTTATTTTACAGACAAAACGGTTTACTTACTGTAAAACTTGTTTATCACGTTCATTTAGTTCTGCTTGTGCTTCACCAGCAGCTACTTCAATTGGTTCCACAACTACTGGTATTTTTTCATAATTCGTCGCGATAATGTTTTGCTGATTCAATTTGGAATTTGATATAAATGTTTTATGTGTAGTAGCTGTGACAGATGATTGATTAGTAGTAATAATTGTAGGTGAGTTTATTTGAATAGATGAATACATAGGAGAATATGAACATTTTTTAAGATTTTCATCATCAACATTATCATGAACTGAAGATTTCATTGTTGTACAACAACTGTTACTACTAATACTACTTGTAACAAAAGCAACACTGGTAGTAGGTATGCCAGTAGTCGACATCGGTAATACATTGCTATAAGTTAGCAGGGTATGATCAGATACAGAAGATGGCTGAACAGTTATAGTTGCCTCAATATTATTATTATTATCATCATCAACATCTTGTGTAGTTGTATTTGGATCTAGTAGTGTTAAACACGGTTTACGTTTAGGTACTTTCGATTTCATATTAAATGGTCTTGAAAAACATCTAAATCTGTAGAAAAAAACAAAAGAAAGGAAGTGAATATTATACTGTGATTTACCATACAACCCATTAAACAATATAGAAAGATGCTTTACGAAATTAAGTGTAGGAAAATACAATGAAGAACAAAAATTCGGTTTAGAATAAATACTTGCCTAATCTAAAAAATAGATGTGAATAGTTGGATTGGACTATTGTATCGACTTTCGTATAGGATCTAAACTATTGAGAAGCCTTAGGGCACCAAGGACAAAAAAACTGTCCAGTGCTTTCACTGGTTGAGTTTGACCTGTTACGGAAACTATCTTTGAAAAACGGTAGTTGTATTAATTAATTATTTTAATAAAGTACTTATTCTTTGGATAGGAGATTATGACAATCGTTGAGAGGCAGAACCCGTGAAATGCCTGTGTTATTGTTGAACCACTGACTGCGAATCCCGTAATTTTCAAATCAAAACCATCAACATAATTTTAAGTGGTAGGTAGATGCAGTACAGAATAAGAAAATTAACAATATGGTCTCAGATTGTCGATACATCAACTGTTTTTATGTAGCACAACTATTTAAGCCAATGGATCATTGTGTTGATTTTCTAGCCGAAACATGACAGTAATGTGTTACCTAATTGGGACTGTAAAAACTGACAAATCATATGGTTGAAAAACTTACGTGATATTTATCAAAGTTTACATTAGAAGCCTAGTTAGCATAAATGGCGGATGAATTTATGTGGTAATTTATACCAGCTTTGTAGTTGTGACTTGGTGGTTTACATTATCGAATTTAGATGAATAGGTTACCACCTTTGAACATAGCTGTATCATCAATCAAAACCTGTGTGACTCAGATGGTAACCAGTGAAGTTTGACAAAAAAAGAAACTGATGGTATAAACCTGAACAGAAATTCTCGATAGTTATATTTTTTATAACTAAAAACTAAAAGCCAGTTAAATGTTTTGTTTTGTCTCATAGCAACAACTTTTAAAACAGATATATAATATTATCTTTATGAACATTTCTAGTTCAAAACACTTGAACAATTTTCTTTCTGCTAAAATACTTAAATTTAAGAAATATGACATCACATTTTGCATTTTGATAGGTTTAACTAAACAGGTACTTTAAAAAAGTTCACAATGATAACACAGTACTACGAGAATACAATGAAATTATAATATATTTAAAGAGGACGATTGACAGACAAATGTCATAATGAAGAGAAAAAAAGAATAAAGAGGGGGATAAGAGGTAAGAAAGAAAAGCTTGTGATAAACAATAAATAAACGAAAATAACAAGGAATAATGTCAACAAAATGAGAAACAGGATATAAAATTTAAAGTTTACATAGAATGTACTGAATTCAAAATTAATTGCTAAATAAAATACATTAGAGTAAATATTAAAAGACAATAATAAGAACAAATAAACCAAATACATTAGAGATCAATTCTTGTAATTAGATAAACATAGGCAGTAGCCACCAATATTCCTAAAGAATAACTGTTAAATACTCTTCTGCGATACTGAAAACTAGAACGATTGTCTAATAATGAAAATATTCAACATTCAGCACTATTGGATTCTAATTTTATAGATCATCAGACTGAGTTCTGTGTAGTTAGTCAGTTTGGAAGTAAAACCGAAACTTCATACAACTGAAGCATAACTCGAAGCCAAGTGCATAAGACCATACACGGTGAGTTTGTGCCACATTAATCACTAGATGAAAACAGAACTTTCATCAATACTTACTTTTCACAAATAATTTCTTAACTTGATACAACATAAACAAATTAGCATGATTAGGGATGATATATACAACTGAAAAACACCTTATACACAGTTGACGAGAAAACAATTCATTTCACATTAATTCCATAAACTTTACCAATAATATTGTGTTTAAACTCGTTAAGATAAACTTAAACATGATCTGTTAACAAAGTGATTTGAGATACAAACATTAATAAGGCTTTTTATATACACTGATACATTGGATTGTTCAATTAAATAGACAAAATAGAGAGTAACTTATGATAAGCATGAATACGATTAAACGAAAATCAGCACTATTTACATATTAATACATTAAGTATATTTTTCTATAACCGAAGTATTAAGAATTAATTATATAGTTAAGAAACGATAGTAATCCCTACAAACACATTATTTATATATCTTTTTTAAATCAAAACACCAATACAATAATTTTAAGTCGGTGAGTGCATTCATTGAATTGTAGTTGGTATTATCCATAAGCTGAACTATACATTTATGGTGTTCTTTATTGACTAACTGGTGTCAACTTGTGCAATCGAAAACTAGTCTCATGATTATTTCAAACCACTCAGAAATGCAGAGTCAAGAATTTAAATGAGATTCAAACTACATCCTGCAACTATCATGAAGAAGAGGGTATTTTCAATACGTAAATTTGGAATCAAATGACAAATGTTTTCGACATCAATCAATTCGAACAATTAAGCTATTTAGGAGTGTAAAATTTAAACGGTTTCGTGGTTTAATTTTTTTGGTTCGACATTTGTCATGAAAGTATAATCAAAATGTACATAGGATCTCAACAAAAATCTCCTAACTTAATGAAAAAATAAGCATTGGTATTCATGTAGATGATTAAAACGTAAAATTACAATATTTGTTTTTAAAGTGGGTTTTACAAACGTCTCTTTTATTGATAGATAATATAATGAACATATTGATATGTGAATACTCTACTTGTATTTACCATTGAGAAAACAATCACCGCGAACCTATATCAGAAACTACGTAAATCAAGACAGATATGGAACAATTACTTAGAATATTGTCAGTACAATACTACACATTCCCACTTTATGTTTAGAATCAAGCTTATAGTTGTAATAGAGCATAGACGATTAATGAAAATTAATCTCTCATTATGTGCCAAGGTTGAATTCGAGGGCTTCCAATAAATTGAGCACCGGGTAGAAAGTTAATAATAAATATATTTTTTGTTTTATCCCAGTGATTAGAAAAGTAGTATTTCTGGCTTTTCGTGACTTAATGTAAGCCACTTCTTCAGAGTAAATAAATAACCGAAATAGAATTAACACAAGTTTAAATAGTACGAGGGAAAAATTGCAGAATATTTTTAGTACAATCAAAATCACAATAGATTTGAATTTGTCAATTTTAAGTTATTCTTGATTATGGTGAATTTGTATGACCTGTATGGTTATGAAAAATGTATGCATTTATAACATAAAGTAGTGGGGTCGAAATTGAGTGTGTGTATGTAGAAGGGATGGAAAATAAACAACGTCAAATGTAGTTATTTGGATAAACAGTCCAGGTTGGATGAATGTTTAGTCCTTCTTTTCAATTGAGCGCAGAGGGATTTAGCATTATGTACATAAACATAAAGTTGTGTCTACGGATTAGGTTGTGTCGATTATGATGTATTCTACATCGAAATCCTCTCGTGAGATCTCGAATCATGCCAAGCAACATGTAAGTTAGTAATAAATACAACCGAATTCGGTTATTTATTTACTCTGAGGAAGTGGCTTACATTAAGTCAAGAAACGTCAGAAATACAATTTTTCTACTCATCGGGACATAAAAAGATATATTTATTATTAAACTATCATTGTGTTTAATACTATGCAATAAAATATTAATAAGATTAAGAGTCAGAAATAATTGTAGGAAGTACGTGCAGACAACATATGTACACAAACATCTTTAAACTACACTTCATAAATATTTTTCGACATTATTCAGGAATGAACATGAATGAACACTAAGAAATCATAGACAAATAGTTATGGAACATGTGAAACTATAAAATGAAAACAAAAACATATTTGGTACACTTGGTGATTGTAATAAAAAAGACTATAAGGAAAAGTGTATAATCACCATTTCACGTTGTTATAAACCAATAGTTTACATTACAATGTTGTTATTTTTCTTTATCTGTGAGTCATTAGTATATAAAAAGAATATGAACAAACATTGAAAAGAAAACAAGTAAACAGCTATAAACAATTATTTGTTCGTAGTAATTAGTATTCGTCATGGATTGATTTCAGCTAAGATGCAATAGAAAACTGCAAGTATGACATGGAAAATAATTCGTTTTAATATGCAAATTTTCAACAAGCTGCATCTAAAACTCATTGAGATATATTGGTACATTCTGGTTTTATGACGAGCACCTTATCCTGGTGGGATCGTCCCAACAGTTGTAATACAATAACAAAATCTGAGATTCTGCACAAGTAACGTTATTGTGGCCTGCTGACGGTAACTCGCTTTCGATTTTTCCAACGACATTCCTGGATCCGCTTCGCCTTCCCGCTTCTTATTCTGAATGTCCATCTGGATAAACGAATGCTTAAAATTCCTCCAAAAACAACCCGTATTTGGCTCCTTACAATCACCGTCAAACAAATGGGGTTAGTCTAGGTAATATGCGAAGTTAAGCGGAAGATTTATGTACATAACATCTTCGTACGATCAAAACGGTGTCAGATACTGGGATACAAAACAAAATCAAAAGAAGTATAGAACACATGAAGATTTTAGAAATTTGATTGTAAATGTATGGGATATAGTTTAGTTATAAAATGAAAGAGTTTACAAGGAATTTATTAGAGCTAATAAACAATGAAACAGTTCGGAAGAAAGAGCAACATTTTATTATATCACGTAAAGAGTCATCGTAAAGTAGATTCAACGTCTAAGATGAAAATCCCTTTTGATGTTTTGAGAATGGACGGGTAAATAATCACTTTATAGATAGAGGTGAAATACGAGACCGTGACCATAGGTCGATTAAAACTAACATTTTTAGAAAGTCATGAACAAACACTAGCGACAAAGCTTCCGACGCTAGTAACAACACGAAAGCAAAGCGAACAGATTGCAACAAGAAAGGTCCTAGTAAAAAGTACAGCAGTACTGGAAACATAATCGGATCTGATAGAAGAGTTTGTTGGCCAGAAATATAACTGACGTGTGCTAAACTCTTCTGATTCAATTTCGCATTTCACTTGATATTCATATACACTCCATAGCATTGAGTTAAAGATATAAAACTATTTGTTGTTAGATCATGTATGTATCTTAATTACTTTCAAAACGCTGTACAAACATTGGTTTTCTAATTTTCTTCGGTTCCAAAGATCTTAGAAACAATTTTCGTTAAAGTTACATTTTAATACTAAACAATCTTTAAGTGTGTCCAGGACAGAGTGGGTTAGAGAATGCTAGTCGGCGGCCTATGATCCATTGGGCGTGACATGTTTAAATGTTGTGTATTCACGTAGACGTACTAAAGGTAGCTTTTCATTCCAATTATAGTCGCTACCGGCAGCTGTCAGAGGAGCTTTAAGTTAACGTCGAATTTTATCTATCATGGTAATTTCTCATTCATTTCAATACAGGAAGTATCTGTAAGTTTCTGCAATAACCTGTTTCCAAATTGTATACAGCAACTGGTCGTATTTTGTCTTGGTAATGCTCTCAAGTTAAATATTCAATGTTTGATAAATCTTCTTGCAAATGTTGTCACTAAGGTACATTTGGCTTAGATTACCACTGAATATATGGATGCAGGTCAGCCTGTGCATATACCCATCTGAAATCGGTAACGATCTGACAGTATCAACGTGTAAATGGTCGATCCTTCCATCTGGTTTACGAAAAAACTCGAGTAGGAGATTCAGTGGGTCTGAGAACTTTCGCTTCCTGACCCAACGTCCTAATTTGAGGTTCATTTGGCAATTAGTTTTACAGTGTCTGTGAAATCTGGATGCAATATTCCGTTAAGTTTCAAAAAAAACAAAAAAAAACAGTCGCTTCACGTTATGTAGGATTACGAGGCGATCGTTGGTTAAATGAAATATCAAACGAAAATGATTCAGTGATGTTTAGTTAAAAGCTTCTTAGCATCAGTCGTAAGTTCAGTGGTACAGATTTTTATCTGAATGTAGTTTCGTTTATTGTATAGTACCAAATACAATCACGAAAGAAATGTGAATAACAGATTATCTCTAATTACCACAATCAGTCAATCAATCTGTCAATCGTAAATAATGTAGAACTAGAAACAAACGTGCATCGGGACAAGATATCTCTAAATATATATAGTAAACGAAATCTAGTGAAGTATTTTTCTTTACCAAAATATACATATTAAAGGATGAATCGGATTATCAGTAAGTAATCTTAACAATAAAACAGAAAGATAACTTCTAATTCATCTTATCAAAACATAACTATTATAAACAAAAGGATGACATGGATGAGTCAACTGTATTATCATAAAACGTCATAAGTACATTAAAATCTAAACTGTAATAAACATAATTTTTGATAAGCTCTGAATACTTATAACACTGAAAGGAAAAAAATCAACTACACATTGAAATGCAGGTAGCATAGAAACTGGAGTTAACTGTTAGGCTAACAAATAGGAACACACATGGTGACATTTTTCGTCCAATAATAGTCAACAAATAGTAATAATCAGTAGTAATTATATATATAATGGACCAGGGAATAGTTGTTTATTACTATTTTGAGACTCCTCAGTAGTTTGATTCTATGTAACGAGGCGAGAAGTATAATAATCTATAACAAAAATTTAGTAAAGTCAAATATCGCTAGGAATGGAATCCGAGATGGGTGCTTTGTCCAGTCCAGGGCTCGTCAGGCGGATGATTTTAAAACTGAAACTCGAACCTAGTCTTCCTTGCTACAAATACAATGTTATCTATCAAACTACTGAGTCCAGAGAGCTACTAACGTGTTGAATAGTTACCAAATAATTTGTAAGGGTTTATATTTTTCGACTGTTGATATGAAGTACTATAATTCATGGTGAAAAGATTGTTTAGGGTTACTTAACTTTTAATAGTTACGTAACACGCAGGTTTATTTATGATGTCAATCATCTTTAAAATGCAAAATTAACATTTCAGACATTTGGTTCATCTTGCTTTAAGCAAAACTAAAAATAATACAGATGAAAAAAAGATTGGAGGTTTAGGACAAGTTAACGTGATATGAAAAATTACAAGTAAGCATTTAAAAACCAACATTAGTTAAGTAAGCCGTTATTTGATATTGTCAATCAATTGATATTACGATCAGACATTAGTTTTTTACAATTAATTTTACACAACAAATGTTATGCCTTTTTTTATTAATGAATTACAGTTAAATTCATCGCATTAGGCTAATCGTTTTGATAAGCTTAGGAATATAATTGAAATTCTAACTAATATATATTAGAATAGCATAGCATAGCTTGAAGAAACAATGATTTACTTACGTATCACGAAATTGTCGATTAAATCGTGTCAGCATACCGGAAGTAGTGCTTTCGTCTTCCTCTTTCTCGACATCATTGCATTGTATCCTTGTATTATTATTATTATTTGACTCTTTTATCACTCTATTGCATATTGTGTATAATTGTAAAGCTAATCGTTGAGCGATTTTGGCATCAGATAATCGAAATTTAAGAATATATTGTTGTGAAGTGTTTTTATCATTTTCGATAGACTGTGAATTATTTCTATCATCCTGTAGATTAACCATATTTGACGCACTTTTCATTTTAGTGCTACTCTTTATATCAATAAAATTCATTAATTTTTCTGCCTACAATTATAGAAAGAGTATTAATTTATGCATTTTTATCCAGTGTTTCTTAAAAAGATTATTTTGTATAGGTAGGTAAAACGACGTTAGATCCTATTCTGTGTGTTGCACGGTTGTTAGTAGTCAGCGGGTAACATTAGACCTAGGAGGTTGTGTGGCAGTCACTGTAAGAAATCTAGAATCTTGAGAAGCTACTAGTATTTGACAAATATGTCTTAGGAATATTGCTCGCATCCGCTGGGATCATCGGTTAAGTAATAGTGAGGTTGGTAAATCATTTGATGAGGTTGTAAATCTTCATGGAATTAGATGACTGGGTCATGTATTATGTACGCCTGAACACCGATTAACACGACGCGCAATGGTTACAGACTCTGGGTAACGGTTCAGAATCGACCACAATGGCGTGAGTGTATACACTCTATGTCTTTCCATAAACGGTGAGATTGAAACTGCTTTGTATCTTTCTTTTATATATTACCACCATTGAATTAACTACTTCTATGAATTCGGTGTTCATCTTGTTGTACTAATGAGGTGTATCAATTTGGGCTGATCATATATGTGCCTGGTTCTACGATGTAGCTGACTGACTGAGAATCTTGAGGGAACCGATAACTTTAGTAGGATTTGAACTATCGATAGCCAGGTTTACAATGAGATGAGTAGGTATGCACTAAAGTGAGTGGGTACCGACGGAAACTTTTTTTACTCAAAAAGCAGTCGTTCAAAGCACTTTCGTGTTCAGTTTTACTAAATAAGCAGATGTCGATTGATGAAAAATTCATCACAGTTGAATAAGAAGAGAGAGGAAACTCAAACAACAAGATTTCTGATATATTCTATGTGAATAGCATGCTACTAATGGGTCAGAGAGCATAAACGATTTTGGTATATTCAGAACGACTATCAATCTACAAACTAGAGTCCCAAGAAAACAAATTGGAAGTTGATATTTCAACTGAATTTCTAACTCTATGGTTAATTTAAGCATATAAATCAAATCTCGACACATTCACGTATATTCATACGTCTGGTCACTTTTGTGCAGGCAGCTACTCACTCAAACAAAAAGACCAACACGTCCCACCACAGCATTACTGATTATTGCAGACTGTGGTTGGGTAAACATACAAGTTAGTCTATTAAAAATTTAGGATTGTCATAATCAGACAACATAGGAACAAAACCAAACAAATGTTTAGCAGTAATGGTAAAAAAATGATAGATGGTAGGAAAGTAGGATAGTGGAAACCAAGAAGTGGAATCAGTCCGTGAGGTCATGTATCGTTGTACTGAGTTATGTAAGTGAGTGCAGACACCCCAGATCGTGGTTCATGCGACTACCATAACCAATGGTTAGAAAACTCGAACACGTCAAACATAACATTTGCAATATGTAACAATGTGGATGATGTCGAAGACCAAAATGATGTTTTGTAAGGAAATGATATGTGAGGCAGCTAACAGAATGGATACAGACATATAGATGAAAGTCAATCAAGATCGTCGAAAATGATATATATATATATAATTAAACAAGACCTAGAAAAGTAGACAAAGACCAAGTGAAAATAATAGATGATTTGTTGCTTTTGAACACCTAAAAAGATCAGTTGCCAGCACCCATGTAAACAACAATGTATGGTAGTCATAAGCTAGGATAATCATTTTGATGATCGATAAGAAACCGTTGTTTATTGTAGAATTTAATGATTGTTAGATGAACTAACAAATAATGGATGGCTAGACATACATACATTATGTCTAAGGATTAAAATACAAAAAAGGTATTATAATGGGACGAAAAAATAGGAAAAGGATTAGTCATAAGTATAAGGAGAAAGCTGGTTTTGATTAGTTGAGAAATGAGTGACATTATCGGAGTATGGGGGGATTGGTACGTAGTTGAGTTGCTCAAGTGTCCGTGATATTTCGAAGTTGGACAATCGGGGAACGTTTCACAACATAGTATTAGTGAGACGATTGATTGTTATGATGCTATTAGTATTTGATCATCTATATGATGAACTGAATGAAATAAACTAGATAATAGCTGAAAAATGAGAAATTATTGAGCTGTAAATGCTGATAGTAAATTCATATGGGGAACTGTGATGGATATTGTAATCAGACCACTGAGTTACACAAAATGGAACCCTTTTAAGCATTGAAACCAATATATTTGTCATGAAAAACTACATCGAGTCAGTTAAGATCATTATCGATATTTGTGAAGTAGTTTAGGGTCTTTAGAAAACCAAAACAAACCGTTACATGAACATATCTCTGTTCAAGTCATAGCTTATGTATTTCATTAGGGGATTCCACCATTTAAGACGTTATAGAACAATAGATATTTATACATTTCATGGCTATAATGATAACATTTAATGACTAGTTGCAATTATAATGATCGAAAGTCTTGAATCTAATCAATTTGGGATACAGTCATAACATTCCACAGTACCGTCATATGATACGTAGTGTTTTTTTTTAAGGATTTCGTATGTAAATGTGAAATTTTAAGGAGAATTACACATTTCGTTATTTTCTTTGAAAAATTACGTTTACTCAGTTATGTACAGACATACAATCTAAACATACTTAAGCTAACCACAGGAAAAGAGTATCTGTTTAAGTAGAGTTTATTGACTTTTTCTTGTGACGACTATGTATATATCTTTCTGTTAAGAATTTCGACACTGTAAATTAACACCTAACACAACAAATTCGATAATATAGCTACATGCAAATTCATTTCTATTTATTACTTGATTAAATGCACACTTTAAATTATTTACGTTGACTAGAAGTATTATGCTACTTTCCCTTATACAGTTGATCTCACATTCCCAACATTTCAGCACGTAAAAATAAAAGCTTTGAGAAGATAGAAAGGGAAACATTCATGCAGGTGACAGTGTTTTAAAGGCTAACAAAATACGGCAATGTCCGTAATCATACCGGTGGTAGACTACAATTTTTCTGGTTTGTTGTTTTTCATATGCTTATAGCGTGCAACTATGTCAAAGTAAACTTTTCTCCAATTCATATTTCCGTAATAAACTGATTGGTTATTTTTGCCTTACGCCTACTAATGTTTTTTTGTCTCAAAGGTCATATTTGTTGTTGTATGCAAATAGTTGTTCCACATTTTTTTAATTTTGACTTCAGCTGGGCATATAAAAGCGGTCCTAAAAAGCTAGTCTTCTTTAACCCTCTATTCGCGGTTACATTATTAATGTTGGGTCGCAAAAGCAGACTGGCTCCTCAAGTCATCTAATATGAGCAGATCCCGTCTTATATTAAAAGAATGGATCAATCGTTTGTAATTCAGGGCCCCCAAATGCCCTGGTACGGCCGAGAGTGGGGAGTCCGCTCTCCCTCTCGAAATGCTCTCACATGGCTTCTGTCAGGGAAGTTCTACTCACTGACTTCTCGTGGCGGGGGTGTTGTTTACGAAAATGAGAGGACGAAAAGCGAATGTCTGGCGATTTAACCGGATTCCAAACCAATGTTAAACGTGGGCTCCAGGATCCTGAGGAGACAAATGGAGTGTAAACCATTTATTGGTGACCGACTACCATGGGACTGCATCTCCTGACGCTGCTCCACTGCATTGTGGGTTAGAACTTTAGGTCAAAGGCTCGGGGTGTGGCCTCCTGAGAAAACCACCTGCTTCGGTTTGGGCACCCGGGCAGTATCCCAGCCCTCACACAAATCTTATTTGATTTGTGTGGCGCATATGTATTTGGTGCCTCCTTGTACCAATATCTTTGTGTTAAAATAATAATAATAATAATAATAATAATAAAAATAATAATTCAGAACATTGCCATCAGTTATATTAGACAAGTTGTTAAATAAAACAAACTGATAGTCAGTCAGCTACAACGTAGAACCAGGCACATATATGCATCGGTTCAAGTTGACACAGCTCATTAATACAACAACATGAACACCGAATTCATAGAAGTAGTTGATTCAATGGTGGTAATAAATAAAAGAAAGATTGCGTATAAGGATATTGCACAAGAAGAAAGAATTAGTTCGTATATCTTTCCAAGCGATATCTAGGTCAGCCTCGTTTTCAGAACCACATACATATCAGATCAGTTGTTCCTGGAATCTACGTTTGGCTTTCTCGTCATTGAGTTCAACTCTAATTGGTCTTAATGTGGTTTTCCAGAGTCCAGCGAGGCGCAAGCAAATGCGTGCTCATATTAGAGCATGATCGACGTCCAAATATTCCAGAACGAGCGACAGTCTCCAATCGAGCCTCTCCAACGATGACTGGTGGCAATATAGTATATTTGAGTCTATCGTTGGCTTGATGAGGGGCTTACCATGTTAGACGATGTCTCTACTTATGCCTAAAATTGGTGCTTGTTAAAAATAAACGATTGATTGAGCAGTTTTAGCAGACGATCACGATTATCTGTTCGATGAGCCGGAATACTAAAATACCCGCATAGATGTCTTTATGTTTTGTGTAAGCTACCTACCTGGGCATTAAAGTCACCTGCTACGAACAGTATGTCTGAGCGTTCAGCTTTTTGAAGAATTTCAAAAAGATTTCTGTAAAATTCATCTTTCACTTCATCCAGGCTGCGGTCAGTGGGAGCGTATGGAGGGATGACGAAAAGGCAACGACGTGTGTCCCTGTCCTTCTAAGTTCTTACGGAGCCGTTTAACCAAACAGCATATAGGCGACTGTTAACAGGGATCCAGTCTAAAAGTGCTTGTTTTGAACTCCTGTTTAGTACTATGCCTACACCTACCAGTACGCGAGAACTAGCTATTGGGTCGCCAGATACACGGAGAGTGAATCTCATCGGCCCTCCGTTTTTGGTTAGGTGTGGTCAAGTGAATGACTACATTAGGATCCTGTATGGGTGTTTCGGAGACAAACTATACATCAATGGAACGAGATTCTAAAGTTTTAGCCAAGGAGGCCTACTGACTGATTTGAGATAGGGTGCGTACGTTGAAGGCTTAAATGTGTAGTTCGAAGCGAAATTTCAGTAGACCTAAAGCAGTGTTTCGAGCATAAGAATCGTTGGCTATGGCGGCACTTGAGGAGGAACTCAAAAGAGGAAGTCTAGAGTTGAAAGTCGAAGTAGGAGGAATAACAGGAGATTGATCTTGAGTGCTTTTAGAGCTATGAGGGCACTTATCAGTTCACGGTTGCCAAAACCGTGGAAGGATTCTCCTAGAGGAACCTGAAAAGGAAATCGGACTAGAGGTCGTTTTGATGACCTGGGAGCGTGACTCAGCGTCCAAGGGACAACTACTTGAGGCTGGTCACACACGACCTTTTTGTGAGTAGTTTTCTTGTCAGCTCCGTACTTATTAGAACCTTACCGCCGGAGACGGAAATCCATGGGATACGGTGAGATGCACATTTTAGGATCACCTTTTTCTAACCCCACTCATCCTTGTGGGCAGCATCACTGTTATGCTGATTGTCTGAAAGAAATATCTTACTGCCATCACAACTTTGTACAGTCAGCAGTACGGTTTCGCCTTCGGACCTTGGGTTTGCTGCTTTTAGACGAAATGTTTAGAAAGATTAATACTTATTCAGTAGGAATTATTAGGAAAAAATTCCATATGGTTTTTAGATATAAGTCACAGAAATCAAGATGAAACATGTGGCGGTACATATCACTTGTCTTCAGAAATAAAGGACGTAAACAAACATAATAATGTAGGAAATCCATAAACTGTACTTCATTGAAAAGTACAGATTGTGAAAACCAAATAATAATTAAGAATGAGGGGAAGAAATGATTTAGTTTCCATTTCATGGATTAATGGAAAAAGATTATTAATTAGGTGACCAAGTCTTTAGGAAGATATTATATGAGAAGTGAAACTACGAACAACTCCCAAATGAGTTATTTGACTCTGTAATGTCACTTCATGACCTAGTACAGATTTATGTATTCAACTTTGAGTCGCACTTTATTTGTGAAGGCTAATAATAATATCAGTCTGTCGTAAACCGAAATAGATGACGCAGGACTCGAGCTTGCGACACCATAGTTAAAAGGTGAACGACTTATTCACTAAGCCTCCACTACACATAGTATTAAACACTTCTTAAACTAACTTACGCTAAATTATGAAGTGTGTTGATTTGATAATACACAAAATGAGTAAAAAGATATTTCTCTTAGATTAGACTTATTTTATCTTAGCATTTAAAGTGATAGATAAGTTTTACATCTAAATATGTAACAATTCATAACAATCACATGATTTTAGAACATTTAACACTACCTAATTACACATGTATTGGAAAAATTAACCGTGAGTTAGTAATAAAACGTATACTAAAATTAGTCAATCGGTTAATTATAGAAACTGATCGTTTATGTATAATAATATAAATATGAATGAGAAATGCGTCAGTCTGAATCTAAGTATATGATCAGATTAAAAACAGAGATCCAGGCACTGTTTGCTGGGAGAAACATTGGAATTATTTAAATTTCAATAGCTTAGATATTATTTCAAATATAATTTTCACAAATAATGTCTTCTCTATACTCAGAGCCCGATTTCTATCAAACTATTTGTTCAAACATTGACGAATATTCACATATACCGTACAGATTAACGTAAAGATTACATTTATTTGCGTAGATCACTGGTTTTTATTTATTTATTGGTACAAGGGGGTACCAAATAGATATGTGTCACATAAATTATTCGATTTTTATGAGGGCTGGGATACTGCCCGGGTGCCCAAACCGAAGCAGGTGGTTTTCTCAGGAGGCCACACCCCGAGCCTTTGACCTAAAGGTCTAACCCACAAAGCAGTGGAGCAGCGTCAGGAGATGCAGTCCCATGGTAGTCGGTCACCAATAAATGGTTTACACTCCATTTGTCACCTCAGGATCCTGGAGCCCACGTTCAACATTGGTTAGGAATCAGGGTTTTCCAACTCCCCTAGGTGGATCCTCCATATCCATCAACTCAGTTAAAGAGCCGAACATCCGCTTTTAGTCGTCTGGATCTCGTAAACAACACCCCTGCCGCCAGAAGGCAGTGGTTTCACTGGTTCGTTCATAAATTATAGTTTCGCCATAGTTTTTCGAGTAATTAAACTACATGCTTATGAACAGTATATGAACACAAAATAAGCGCAGCAAAATGATATGGACGATAAACGGAAATTAGTTGTAGGACACTCATTATATGACCTGACAGTTAGGTCTCATCATTGGGGATCGTATCACATAAACGGATTCAAAAGCTACCACTTGAATCAATTAGGTGGGTGAGTGTGCCAAGATAAAGCTTCCTATGAAACGAGAATATTAATAAGTGCGATGATGAAATGGCTTAGAAGTACATCTAGCGGGACTGGATTCACAAAGACAGTTTGATCATTAAAAGTGTGTCATAAACAACAAAGAACCAGACACGTGTGTATCGGTTCAATGTGTCACATAATATAAGCACAAATGAAAACGTAATAGTCGACCTTCTGATAGTGTAGATTGTTAAACAAAATATTGGGTATACAATATATTATTAGGGGAAAAATAAATAAATAGAAAGTATGAAAACTTTTATACACTCAAGATCGACAGGAAGACAAAAAGAGAACAAACCGGCATTATTGAGACCGATTCTCAACCACATAACCGTTTCCCAATCATTAGTTATGGTAGTCGCATGAACCACGATCTGGGGTGTCTGCACTCACTTACATAACTCAGTACAACGATACATGACCTCACGGACTGATTCCACTTCTTGGTTTCCACTATCCTACTTTCCTACCATCTATCATTTTTTTACCATTACTGCTAAACATTTGTTTGGTTTTGTTCCTATGTTGTCTGATTATGACAATCCTAAATTTTTAATAGACTAACTTGTATGTTTACCCAACCACAGTCTGCAATAATCAGTAATGCTGTGGTGGGACGTGTTGGTCTTTTTGTTTGAGTGAGTAGCTGCCTGCACAAAAGTGACCAGACGTATGAATATACGTGAATGTGTCGAGATTTGATTTATATGCTTAAATTAACCATAGAGTTAGAAATTCAGTTGAAATATCAACTTCCAATTTGTTTTCTTGGGACTCTAGTTTGCAGATCGATAGTCATTTTGAAGCTATTGCAGGAAGTCACATAAGAGCTGAGAATTGGTAGTAGCTAACAGTCAGTCAACGACAATTAGACTAGAAAATCGTAAGGGTGATGGAACATGACGTTTGAATTTCCACTCTGAGAATTTACAACTGGTTTACAGAATCACGAAAGTTACAGGCTTGCTGTGTTAAATGCTTTTCAAGGCATATGTAAGACGTCATAAATTATTTAATCATAGCAGCATAGTTTATGTTTACCGATAACAGTAGTATGGCTGTGAAATATACAACTAACTTATAAGTTCGTCCTAGAAGTTAAAAAATATCTTATTTGATTTTAATTTGAAAAATGTCCAAACATAAAATTGTTTGTAAAGTAAAACTGTGGAATGCCGGGTGTTTAAACAAATCCAAAGTAATGAAGTCTTGTGTTCGTACGATTAAAATTTCAAACTTCCCACTAATTTATAAAGATGATTTACACGAATTAATCTTTTTTTACTTTAATTCATTGAAAAGAATAAGATGAAGACATTATTCTAAACCAATGTAAACAAAACTCACGTTTTCTGAATTCATGGATATTGGAAGTGTTACAATTGAACGATTAGCAATAGCATTGCCCAAATCTTGCCTGTTTTTTTTAAAATCAAATATTTGTGGAATTAAAAAAGAGAAAAAACTGGGAAATACGAAACAAATTAACTACAATAAAAAGATGAATATATGTCATACAGAAAATATTATGAAAGTAGACTGATAACTTTAAAATCAATTAATAGATACATTTTATGCTTGTTCGTATACACCACTTTCATTACTGTAAATAATCATCAAATGAACGGAAGACTATCGGAAGGTAGACGAGTCAAACTATGTCTAGAAGTCAAACTTTCCTCTATATAGAGAAGGATAAGAAACAATGAATATTAATCATATAATGAACAAGAGAGAATTAAAAAGTTGTCATGATATTTTGTGATCAATGCACTTTATTTTAAACGCTTAGATTTCAAATTAATTCACTACTGGATTCGGGCCGATGAAAGTAAAAAAAAACCCAGTAAGTTAGATAAAACTAATTGCTAACAAACTGATTGATAATTGCTATTTATTAATTTGATCATGAGTTTTCGCCCCATTTCTACTAGGATTCATAAGAGTACACTGAAATAGTAATTCAAAATGTTACATGATGGAGTTATCAATAATTAATACAGAAATTTCAATAGTTTAAATCATTAGTCAATTGAAGCTAGACCACCATGGAAAACCTGGAAGCACTGGACGGCCGTTTCGTCCTATTGCGGGACTCCTCAGCAATGCGCATCCACACATCAACAATTAATATATTTTCGGTATGTAAACAAACTGCTCGTGGAGAAGAATTTAATTAAATTAAGCTTATTAAGTACTAAAGTACAAATTTATGAACTCACATTTCATGCGTTATTTTCTTTGTAAAATAGGTTACTGATACTATCTGACTGCTCAAAATGAATTAAATAGTATGGGATTCAAATGTGCAGCACGATGATTAAAAGTTCAGATGTCCAATCACTTAGTGAGCGCTCAATCAATTACACATTACAACTATGGTACCTTCATTGAACTCTGATACCGATTGGAGATGATGATGGCCAACTAATTCCATGTTTTAGTGGGTGGTTTTCATCATGGATTGAAAGCCAAGGGGAGTGAACAAATCTTACAATCTATTTTATGAACTTCCGCATATTACAAAACTACAACATAGTCGGAGGTGGATTTTAAGAAATTTAGGTCTCGCAGAGAGCACTTAACCCATAGGTTAATGAGTGGAACTCAATGGTAAACATTCGTAATTTCAATCGATTTGAAACATAGTTTGACGGTTATTTAAAGTTATTAGTGATTATTTATTTATTTATTATTTATTAGGTTATATTGCCTTATCTCACAACACACAAAATGTGAAAACTATTATGATAGAAAGTGGAAGCAAATCAATTCAGAAGAATAATTGTGGTAATTAACAAAATTTACACATCGGGTTAGTAATGTGTACAATGACACACACAGGAACATAATAATATATTAAAATACACTTTCCTACAAAATGATTCTTTTTAACTATTTTAAGGTTTCCATCCCGTTTTTCTTCGACAAAAAGAAACAAATAAATGACGTTTACAAAAACTATTATTGAATTTTTTTCTATCAACCAGAACTTTATAACTATCCTTCCCAATTGAAGGAAAATGAAGCGTAATAAATGATCAACCTTATAAATATTTATGGACAATTGTGACTGATTTCCTGGTAATTAATCTCTTATTATTTTGTGTTTTAATTAATCTTTCTCGTTTAATAAAAAAATAAAACCAATTATATATATATATATATATATATATATATATATATATATATATATATATATATATAAGGCTTCTGTTACGTTTATTTATTATTTTAGAACATGAAAAGTGAATAACGATTCTTATAAGTATTATTTTTATATTCCAATAGTAAATGCATTTTTTCTGATCTGTTGATTGATAGGTTACATAATTAGTGCATAAATGATTTTTACATAGTCAGTATAGAATTAAATTGAATTAGGTCAATGGTATTAATTGGTAGATGATGTTAGAATTTTCATAGTAAAGTATGAATGATTGGAAGAACGATAAAGAAAACCAAACAGTCAAATCTACATTCTTTTATTTTCATTCGGGATGTACATGGCTCATCTTTTTCTGACAGTATTACACATACATCCAACTATGACATAAATCTTTCATTTCAAGAATCTAGGTTCCATGCTGTCTCCTAGGTTTTTCATTCTAGATTATATATATATATAATCACTGTGTCAATTTGTAAATAAACACATGTATGCACAATATATTATTACTGTTACAATTCTTGTCTTTTATTAATCTACATATCTGGATGTCAAATCAAAGTATTAAAAGAAAGTATGTGGATTTGTCTTTTATTTATTTAAACACATAAATATTGGTACAAGAGGGCACCAAATACATATGCGCCACACAAATCAAATAAGATTTGTGTGAGGGCTGGGATACTGCCCGGGTGCCCAAACCGAAGCAGGTGGTTTTCTCAGGAGGCCACACCCCGAGCCTTTGACCTAAAGGTCTAACCCACAAAGCAGTGGAGCAGCGTCAGGAGATGCAGTCCCATGGTAGTCGGTCACCAATAAATGGTTTACACTCCATTTGTCTCCTCAGGATCCTGGAGCCCATGTTTAACATTGGTTTGGAATCAGGGTTTTCCAACTCCTCTAAGTGGATCCTCCGTATCCACCAACTCGGTTAGTGAGCCAGACATCCGCTTTTAGTCGTCTGAACCTCGTAAACAACACCTCCGCCACGAGAAGGCACTTAGTGGACCTTCCCTGGCAGTGGTTGTATGCACGTGGACATATGAGAGCATTTCGAGAGGAAGAGCTGACTCTCCCCACTCTCGGCCGTACCAGGACATTTAGTTAATACAAGTGACTAGTTTCAAGAGGGAATTTCCGGAATTCTAGTGAGAAGGTATGGTCAATGGAGTCTAACTCGAGTCGAGAGTGTGAGGCAGTTTACTACCGACGACAATGGATGTTCGCGCAATATATCATGGATTGATTGCAGTCAGAAATCAACAACGTTGAATGCCAGTTCAGAGGTTTAGAAGTTAAGGGTTCGCCGGCAAGGCCTAAGATGCAGGGTTCGATTCACACACGCGGGATCGTGGATGAAGAATGCTGAGGAGTCCCACACTACAATGAAACGGTTATCCAGTACTTCCAGGTTCCCAATGGCGTTCTAACATTGATCGGTTGATTTTAATGAAACTCAATAATCTCCACAACCCTATACTGACAATTAATATTATTAATTACAGACTGTAAGTAGCTGTAAAAGACAATTCATGAAATAAATAAATTCCCTATTTCTTGTGTGACGATTATTGTTCGTGTTTTAGTAAAAGTTATAACGCGGAGAAAGTGTATAAAATAAGAACTTTTTTCAGAGAAATTGTTTAATGTGATCAATTCAACTAGACAGTTGGAAAAAACAAATTCCACAATAAGAAATGTATAATAATTGGCTAGGTTGAATCAATTATGGTTTTTCCAATTACAACACTTAAAAAAGCATTTGTTTATATGTTACACAACACAGTGGATAGAAATCCCATTGCACAAAATATATATGTGAATGTACGTAGATGTATATACGGATATGAATAACAATGCAAAAGAAGTATTGAATAAGAAATATAACGTAGTTTTGTAGTTTTTAAGGAAATAATCTATCTTGGTAATAAGACGAGAAATTGCTCTTAAAGAGAACGTTGAATCATTCTTCAATGAATAGGGGGTTTTACACATACAGATCAAACAGAGGTGTTAGCAATACATACACGCACAAACTCATGGTTTCGACAACATGCAATTGAATACAAGCAACTGATAGTTATTAATCAAATTTATACGATTTCGATTCCAAATTCCACTTTTACTGGTAAAGTAAAAATCAGTGAATAGATATCCTATGTTCAATTTCAATATTTTATCACGGGATAGAGGAAAATAACATTAAAATTGATTAATTTACTCTTTCAAAGTTATTCAAAAGACTTCTATCAAGTCATGATGGGTAAGCAGCACAGAACTGAAGTGAAACAAACTATAGATGTTTGTTGATTATTTTCAAGTACGTATGGTGCAATCATGGTGCTAGGACCACTGAGGATAAAAATGACGTAGTACATAGGTATTGTAAGGTGTACTGGGGTTTTCGAACAATAACCAATATCGGTGTTCATAATTGATATCTGTATATTAATTAGACAGGTCAGTTTAACAAGTAACAGCCGAATTAAAAAGCCAAAATCCGAAATAAACTCGATAACACACATCAACCATGAATCCATACTAAATTATAAATGATGAATCAGTGTCCGAAATCATCACATTTTACAAAAACACCAATAATAATAAAGATAATCACATCATTTGGCAGTTAGATCGCAATTTATCAAAGGCCCTTTTAACAACATTGTAGTGAGAACGTCATAATAAGGTCACGTTTAACAAAATTAATAACATTGCTATGTAATTGTACAAACGTATATATAACTGGAAATGTTGTTATTCAAAGGACATCAAAAGTGCATAACACAATTATTTTGCGTATGAATGCAAACAAGTCACAGTGACAATATCCAAACAATGGTATGTGAGAGTATAACATGCATCTAGTTCTAGTGAGAAGACATGATCAGTACAGTTCGATAGTGTGTGGTGTAAGATGTCTATCCACAACTGGCAATGGATGAAAGGCTGTGCAATATCATGGATTGTTTGAAGTCAGATATTACCATAAATATAAAAAGATCAATTAGCTATAAAATGAATAAATTCTCACTTTCTACTAGACAAACAGGCATATACATAATATGAAAATCGTTTGTTTCAAGTTACTAGTAATCACGCGATTACAGAGCGGAGCTATCATAAGGGAAAACAAAGGAGCGGATATATATATATATATATATATATATATATATATATATATGTAATGAAATTGGGAAAAGCTTGCATCAGGACCGAGAAGCATGGTGGTCGGAGCATGCCAATGAGTTTGAGGTAGAAGCTGCATCTGGTAACTGCCAGAAGCTCTTTCAACGCATCCGAGCCACTGGCAGCAAAAGTCTGGTGTGAGCGAAACAATCTGTGAGGATGATGGGATGCCAATCACCAACATCCATCGACGTCTTGGACGATGGGCAGAATTTTTCGAAGGGCGGTTCAACTGACCTGCTGCTCCGGCAACATCGGTCAGACTGTCCTGCCCTCCATGGCCGGTGACGACTTATCCACCAAATGAGGCGTAAGTCCTCAAGGAACTCCAACTCTTGAAGTGCTACAAATCACCGGTCCCAGATGACTTACCTCCGGCTCTTTTTAAAGATGGTGGTGACTTTCTGGCTAAGGGACTGACTATGTTGTTTACAAGGGTCTGGGAACTAGAGAGCGTACCAACGTCATGGAATGAGTCGATAGTTGTCCCTATCTTTAAAAAGGGTTCACGTCGTTCCTGTAACAACTAACGGGGGATAAGTCTACTTCCGATTGCATCCAAACTACTGGCTTCCGTCGTACTTCGTAGATTGTTCAAAACCCGAGAAAGAGTGACTCGCGAGAAGTAGGTTGGCTTTCGTTCCGGTCGAGGATGTATTGTTCATATTTTCACCCTCTGGGTGGATGCACAAGTGCTGGTGGTGGCGTGAGTGGTGGATGTCGTCCAGGAGAATTCCACGTCGTGCATTATTTGCCGACGCTGGAACTGGTTAGAAAAAGCAAAGAGATGGTCTGTGTATGACACGGCTTCATGGTATGAAAGAAAGCTGTACAGGATTGGCTTCTGTTGATCCTTCATCACTCCATGGTTGGGGTCCTAGAGATGGTGCAACACAGTGGCTAGAGACATTATCAGATATGGCTCAGAATAGAAGCCAGTGGCGATCTTGCTGTAACTTTATCCTACTTCTTTATAAAAAGTGGACATAACTTCTTTAACTGAAAGAATTCTTCCCGGTTGTATCTTTGCTAGCTGAACTGCTTCTCTGATAATTATAATTTCACTATCACACACTAACTTCTCCTCGTTATTGTTGAACTTTTTCTTATACGCACCTTACATACTTTATCTCTTCACATACTCATTATTATTGTGTGGCGCATATGTATCTGGTACTCCTTGTACCAATATTTATGTGTTTAAATAAATAAATCAATAAATCAACGATAACGGAAACAAAACGGTGAGAAATACAACATGCTATCTGTGTTCAAGTTTATAGATGAAAATAAGGGAAAACTCAGATGTCATTTCAATTACTTATGTCATTCTGTTCGAATTCGACTTAATTATCAATGTTGGCTGCAGCTTGAATGTACACCAACACAATAACGAAAAATCAACCAGATAAGAGGCATAGGTTGGTTGAGAAATAACATTTAAGAAAAATGAAAATTTGAACAAAAGAACTACACTTCAAAAAGGGGAATACGACACAAAAGAATGATGACTTGTGTTCGGAGATCACAGAAATTATCGTATAGATAAGTTTGTTGACATACATAGCCTCTGTCAGTACATACCCTTTAAAATCGTTACTAGATTATATCTTGATACCGTCTATTTTTTATTGAATTCACCTGTACAAGTATAAAACAAAGCTGAATACAATGCTTTATATGGTTGAGAATTGTTTGTCGACAAATACTAATAGCTCTGCACCACAATTCTACTACACACAATCGAAAATATCACTCATAATAACAATAATAATAATAAATATTATTATTCAAAGTTAAACTAACCAACTGAAACGTGTTGATAAAGACTCAACAAATTCTTGATGAATAATTAATCCATCTCTATTAATTCCAATCTGGTATAATTGTCCTTTCTGATCCTAGAAAAGAGTATAAAAAGGCAAGAAAAGGAAAAGTTTGGATGATAGAAAGTACAAAAACAAAATTGATAATGAAAAAGATATTAGAATATTTTTTTTAATTCCCACAAACATCTTTTAGAAGGACGTTTATTACAAATAGATACGCCAGGCAGATTGACAAAGAGATTATTAAAAGAAACTGTTATACAAAAAATACAACTACACAGGCAAGGAGAAACAAGGTATAAGTGTACAAAAAAAGGAAATCAATAAACAAAGGATAATGTGATCAAAACTTATAGAAAACAGATGCATGGTAAAGATGTATCCATACTATACATCGATTTATAAAACACACATGAAATTAAACTCCACTATGTGAAACTTTATTCCATCAGCAATAGTAGTTTGGTAAAACTAAGTGAATATAATAAACATGCTTTGAGTATGAATCAATGAATACATAGTCAATGATCAATATTGTGATATGGATAATAATTATAATATCAATCATAATACCTATGTAGTATATCCACCAAGCAAAATAATGCATTCATTTGGGTGTTCAATAATTAGCAGTATTAAAGAGGAAGCCCTGATTTGTAAAATAATTACTCTGCAGTAAATAAATGAATTGAATGGTACATATCAAAGTCTAATTTCTCTATAGTTTGGAGCTAGGATACAGTGAGATAACAATCAACAATCACATAATATATTCTCAGATTTCACTCAACCTTTCTAGAGATTGATAACGATTATTGCATACACCTCAACTACCAAGTCGGTATCTCCCAAAGCGGTTGAATTCAGCAATCGATAACAGGCATGCGCAATGTAGAACCTGATGCGTCGGCCCAATTAGCCACACCATATCACAAGAGCAAGATGAAATTAGCGAGTCAAATGCCAGGAGTAGTCGCATTTTTAATAGTATTAGTGGTAGTAGAAAAGATTAGACAGACAAAATTATTTGAAAGAAAAGCACGAATTCATGGAATAACAAAGTAAAAAATAATTTCGGAACTCAAAAACTAAGGGAAGAGTGGGTACATCTGCACTGTTAGGACCGATTCTCAATTATGTTGCCCAACGTATCAAACCACTGGTTATGAGGATCGCGCAGAATTCAACCTGGTAATCCACACCTGACAACACGGCTATGACCTGGTTCGAATGTACAAAGCGTCCCTTTAATTTTTTCCTTATATAGGTGCAAGTGCGGACAGATAAGAATGTCTTGACAGGATAGATAATGATCGATGCAAACGTTATACATCAGAATAAATAATTGTTTGACACTCCTGACGATAAATATTGGGTGGTTGCCAGTTAGAAGTTTAGGAATCGACATTTGAATAATGTAAATTCTTTTCGACACATATTGCCAGCAACCACGATATCTCTGACCGGGATTTTTTGTAACTTGCATAGCGAAAGGTCGTAAACTTTTCATAAACACACCTGAATACGTTATGCGATTGATAGAAATGATGATGTGATAAAACAAACAAAAAACAGATAACTTGTTGAAATATCCAGATGGCAGGAACAGGTAGCCCATATATTTATATATATACACAAACAGATGTATGTTTAAGCAAAGATGTGCAATTTTCCAACATACACAACATAGTTTGATTGACAGGTGATTATTTATTGAATAATTTCATACACCACTGATATTTATGGTTACTAGAAGAATGATAATTGTCTTTTCTTTGAAAGAAAAATTAAAATTAATTCTACGTAATTAACAATTGTTTGGCTACAAAATAAAAATGACTAATTGTATAGAAATACAGTAATATCATACAGTACTACATAAATGTCAATTTTCCATCATAGTAATAAGTTCATGTGTCGTATTTTATATTTTATTCAGTAGAAAGGAAATTTACTTATATGTAGAGAAAAATAGTTAATTAAACCGAAATTTGAGATATATTTTAAATTGTTCATCTATTCACTCATCTACAAACAAAGCAACAGTTACATAACTTATCATTCACCAAATTCTTTTTTTCTAAATTCTCTTTATTCAATATCGAACAAAAATAAACAAAGATGGATGGTGGCTAGCAGTGGAATCCAGGACACGCATTTCGTCCTATTTGAGACTAGTCAGCTGGATGTACCTGCATCTCAGAGTTGATGTTCACTCTGGGACTCGAAACCCTGTACCGTTCGCTTAAAACTCCATCGCGTTATCCACTTAGATACTGGGTCCTGATAGCCATTTGCTTGTACAATGGGACGAAACGCTAGTCTTGGATTCCACTGTTAGCCACTATCTATCTTTGCTTATAATGCTTGTGAATTAATGCAATATCGAGGTAATACGCACAGTATGCACATATGCCGATAAGAGACTAATCAATTGCAGTTCTAAACATCAATGGGAAGATTCAAGTAAACAATACCAAGTGAATTTAAAAATAAAAGTTGTCACTTTAACCGGAAAAAATAGATGCATTCTATGAACAAAAAGAAGTATATGTTAAGCAGGTGAAAATAACTGACAAGTAGCAAACTGTTTACGATAAGAGACTGAAAGGTATGTGGGTTATTTCAAACGACTTTGAGTCGTCTATTGACTGAGGTCAATCTTCTTAACTTATTCGTATATACATATATCACTTCGACGACTTTAACAATAGGTATTTCCTAAACGATTTATACTAATTGTAAGTACTTTATAATAAGGTTATGAACAAAAAATAGATCATATTTTAAAAAAGCAGTATACAAGTAAATTATATACTTAACCTTTTGTTTTATTATAGTGTAATGGAATTATTCTAGTTGATCGATGCATGAAGTGAAAAATTCAATTATCATATCTTTAAATGTAACATCCTACATTTGTAGACAGCCATTGACGTCATATGATAAATTTCAATAAAAACTTTTACTAAGTGAGTAAAGAAACACTAAGAAAGAGAGAAAAATATGTAGAAGAAGCTAATACGACTAACTTCTAATATTTACTTATCACTGTCAGTTTTTCGTATTCCAACTACTAAGAAGGATAGTTTTCAGCGTAGAAAGAGGCAGCTTTTCCTTTCAAAATCCTTTAATATGATCATATATTTAAAGTCATGACCAAATGAGTCCTATTTACATCCTTAACAGAGATGTTTCACAAAAGTGAGAGGGTCAAAGCCAATGTCTACTGTCCAAAGTTGATAAATATAGGTTTGAACAAGGTAAGTTGGAAAACTCGAACTGTCAACTGTTGGAGCATGTGAATACCGGGATTCTGAACGGGTAAAAGTCGTGTCAATCTATTTTACTCATTGTCTACCAAAATAACACGACTTTGATGAGTTTTTGTTTCTTAGATCTTTAGGTCAATAGTTAGGAAGAGATTGGTATCCTAAAAAACCATACTTGAATGCTTTGGACTACTAAGTAGTATAAAGGCATGCTTGTGAAAGAAAAGTTTGGATTTACTGACTCAATATGATATTACTGTTTACTGAAGAAGATTTTTCGACAAAACACATTACAACAAACTGTATTCATTTAGGCACAAAAACCGGGCTAAGAACATAGTAACAATTTAAATCGGTTCACATTGTCCTACTTTACATCATCCCAGTTGGTAATAAACGAGACTGAAAACAAAGAAGTCAGAACGATAAAGCTGATAGCAGTGAGAAATCTAACTTAGTCAAATTAAACACTATACGAATAATTAGCTAACCGGAAGATGACTTCCATAAATCAAAAGGAATAAGTTGAATTCACCAGGGCTTCAACTGTAGTAAATTAATAAATTTAAGATTTCCGTTACACTAAAAGTATTCCATATTATAGCATAATTAGTTGGTGACAAATCAATGTTGAGAATAAAGGAAACACAAAAAAAATATTTGGAGGAAGAATTGAGTCATAACTTTCATTTAAAATCCTTCCAATCAAAACATTGACGCTTGTTTTGTTATTTATTCTATATGAGAAAGAAAAAATATTTTTGCAACTCCTCCTACACTCCATCAAATTTGATTTTAGCAATACGCCCAAAAGCTTTGTTAAAACTTTCATCTTTAAGAAATTATGAAGCCGTAGTAGTAGTAGTAGTGAATCATTACAGAAATACAAATCCTCCCATTTCTTGAAAATCAGTATCTTGTAAAGTGATTTTCAATAGTCAATTAGCGGGATTCAGTCCACTACCGAGAAATCGTATTAACCAGGTACAAGGGAACAATATGAAATATTTTCCATTATTATTAATATATAAAACATATGAGTGTGAAACTGCATTACTTGATAGTTGGAGTATTTAAGTCATTAGAAATCAACTGACAAAAAGGATTACCGATATATGTTAAAATTTGTTGGTAGATTCGCGTAGGGTTTTCCTCATAGTTTGGACGACCGTTCACAGTATGAGTTGATATCGCCTAGAGAAGCTTTGAAAATTGAAGTACTGGATTAATTTAGCACTTTAGCGAGTATCCAAAACCTTTAGATCTTACAATGAGCAAAGTGCTAGTCAGTCAGTAGGTCAGAATCCAGAGGTTTTCTAATCAATGTTTCACTCAAATCACAACATACCATTGCACTATTAAATAAGAACTTTAGTTTAAATTCGATCGAATAGTTTCACAGTATTTGGGTGCTGAGTTGATGTGAGAGGAAGAATGTATTTGTAAAATCTTAACGAATGAATTTGAAGTAAATCCGACGTTTCGCTTGGCAATCTGGTCCAAGCTCTTTCAAAGAAATATAATCAAACATCAAAATGATCGAATATAAGTAGGTAAATGGTTCTCCGGTTTACTGTGTACTGAATAATTCATCCAATCAACGTTAACCATTACACTATTATTATTTGTGGGTATTTGTTTAACTTTTCATTTAGTTTACTTTATTATTTACGAGTTCCACCGTTTAAAAAAATCAATGGACTACTGAGTCAATATTATGTTGAAGCAACTGTTTACTATTCCTCAGTACACAAAGCTTCTTCAGAGGATGTTCGTTCCTAACAATGTCACCCAAACATT